CATTCGACTTACCCCTGGTGATAAATCTCGTTGTTGCGGTTGGGAGCTACTGGAAGCTGGTGACGGTGCAGCGATCTTGAAAAAAAAAAACACTCGCACACGCACACCTTTATGTATAAACGCGACTAATTTACCTTAGAAAGCTCATCTCTACGGCTAGCAAGAAATGTTATTGAAGAATCCGATGAGTCGAGCGGTTTCTAAATGGTGACAAAATTCGTTTACGGTTTAAAGGAAGAGTGCACAACTTAATTAGTACTTATGCCTATTACTTTAAGTATTTGTACGTAGTGACTCGATTCATCCTTCCACGAATGATCTTTCGAATCTAGCTCTGTGATAACTCGGCCTGTGACTTTGCCTGCTGTTCAATGGATGCTTTCGCCATCGACGGCTGTTTGGACATCGGCATCGGCCACGGCTTCTACAAATCGTGAGAGCAAGCAACCTTATTGGTGTTTTTCTACGTCTTCTGGAGCCATTCGTGATTCAAGTGGCAAGACCTGGGGGTCTTCTCTAGAGTCCCAATTCGTGAACGTGGCTCAGCTGTGACAACAAGCTTACCTTCTGCGACGACGACCTCGTCGATCTTTGCCTACCAAAGTCACTCAACAGTAGCACCTTCAAGAACTCAGGATCATAAACTCTGTTAAGTGAGAGGTCATTCTCCTTTTTCGTACGCTTAGCAGTGTGCGGAGGTCGAGGTATTCCTCGCATATGTATGACGGTGCTGCAAATCCGCTGCCTTTTCTAACTTCATATTTCAGCCCTCTCCCATCTCTCCGCCGCTCTGGAAGCGTTGCCGTGGGACGTTGAATAAACTCACATCTAAAACCCTTTCCTGCCCCGCGTTCTCCAATACTTTTCACGCTTAGCTGAGACATTCTCATTATGGTCTTCCTGTAAAAAGATGTTTTGAGTCTAGAAAATTTTAGTTACCTCTTCAAAGTGGAAGAGCGATGATCTCCCGCTGTTTAAAGTGGGAGCCTTCATATCTCTTTTGGAAATATCACCATGAATCGCATCCTCTCCGCAAGTCTTAAAACAACTTAATAATTTGAATAAACCATCCCAAAAAAATGGGAGCAGTAGCGCTCGCAGCAGGTTCTCACCTTCACAGTTTCTGCCTTGTCAGAGGAGCTGATTTTGATTTTTTCTTCCTTGGTGGAAGAAGCAAGAAATGAAGGAGAACTAGACGACATAGATGGAAGTTCCTCTTGACAAGTTGGTGTCTAAAATTTTGTTGTCATGACAAGCGAAAATACTATTCCAATAAAAAATAGGTGATATAAGTGAAATAGTAATGCGGTGGCGCAGCGAAGTGTGCTGCCTGGTTTCTTCCAAAGTGTATATACATATTACACCCGTACAATAATCTTTGACGACAGAAGCGCTCGGGCGAAAAGCAGAACAATTTGGAGCTCCCATCATTTTGCGCTTGTCCGGATTCACAGATTTGACAGCTTTTTCTCAATGAAGTATCTCCTTCTCAATGAAGTCTCATCACTCTTTGATAAGGCATTTTTGAAATATTGTTCGCAAGTTATCAAAATCAAAATACTAACGGTATACGTTATAACTATTTGACATCTTAGCATTATTTTTAGAGCACTTCGTTTGACGTATTATACCAGTTACGATTACCAAATCTGCAGTCTTATTTTCGAAGTGAACTGCATCTTTAGTAATTTCTACTTATTAGAGCATTTTCGGAAAGGTGATAGAGAAAGAAATCCATACCATTACACTGTTGGAATCCTCGGCACTTGTTCGTTCTTTGTCTTCGTGTTCTTTGAATGAAGCAACCGATGCTGCGTTGGAAGAATCCTTGCAAAGGTGTTCTTTCTGACTACCGATCTGAATGTGAAGGTCAACTGCTCTCAAAAAAGAATGAAAGAAGAATAAAATGAACGGGGGAAACTTTGAAAAAAGCTGTTACTTCAGTATCGTCGGCGCTATCAGTAATGTTATTCTCCGTTTTTTCATGTTCACTTTCTTCAAGGATGGCGGAGGGGAGGGTAGCTGAGGAGGCAATAGAAAAGAGCCGCTCCCCTCGATAACAGCTCTAAATGGCAGTCATAATGGTTCGCGTAGTGTGATTTATCGGTTTTAACACTGTCACCGTCATCTACATTACCACTAAAACCTGTACCTGATTCTGTCCACGCACAGTATTTAGGGAGCGACGTCGCGCAAGCATGCTGAAGTAATGCGATGCATTCAAAGGATTTGCTGTTCTTCTGAAAAAGACAAGTTCTCTCCCAGTACAGAAACACAAACTCATTGTCTCAACTTACACAACGTGAAAATACTCCTTGAGAACATTCTTCCAGTTTTCAGGAAAACCGTTGGAAAAAATTGTGACGAGTTCAATAGGATACCCTTGAAAAATTAATTCAAGCAAGCATCACAGCGACTGTACGCGAATCTACAGTGTTAGCACTTACCATATTGATGTGCAAGTTCTCTGTCAATACTGCCTCGCAGTTCGTAAATTGTACCACTATGTGACGCCAACAAGGACGAGGATAACCTTTTCTGAATAGTACGTGCAGATACAAAAATAAAGAAGTTGAACAATAGGTATTGGTGCCTTGAAATTCCCCCTACATTTCCGCAAATATGCTCGAGAATATCAGGGACCAGTGTATTCTTTATAAAAGACTCTCCTCGAAGACGTCAGATGCTTTTATAAAGCCCTAACAGACAGGAGCTAGTTGCGCACGCATTAGTAGCAAAGCGAGCTTCAATATGACTGATATAGGCATTCAATACCTGGAGCGCAAGCCTATTTTCTCGATAAGCGACGACTCCTTAGAGTTCCTGTTCATCAGAAGTTCACTGCTGAACATCGATTAGTATTCATAATTGAGAAAAGCAAGAATCAAAGTATGCATGAACTCTCCACTCAGCTTGTGGCTATTTGTTCAATACATAAGGCCTTTAAATTAATTGCTTGTTAGTATTGCGCTATCCATCACTGTATCTCCATTTCTACGATTTTAAGCAAAGCGAATGAAATATGGAAACATAAACAAGATACCTCTATGGCAGTAGAGTGCCAATTTCGTAAAACTGTAGCTGTGTCATCATTAGGTCTGTAGCCCTCAACACAGACTCCGAACGAGTCGATGTCTTCTACGTCAATGAACTAAAAAGGTGTTGTTATTGCAATCAGAACACATCTGGATAAGTTGATCGCTAGAATTCTGGATTTTTCCCCTATACGTGAAAAATAATAAGATTCATTTATGAGTAAAAAAGGTAGGAAACTGATAAAAGTAGGAAATGCATGACTTACTTTGAACACCCAAAGTCGAAGACTTATTCGCTTTTTCTGAGAGAAAGTGCTGCTGATATTGGAAACCATCACTTGATTAGTTTAAACATGTGTTCCGATGTGTAACCTGAAGTAGATACTTTTAGATATGCGGAGGAAAAGGTGCACTGAATAATTTTAGGAAAGAACACATCAGCAGGCTGGACTTTCGGGCAATATGTTTCACAAAACATTTTAACTATGCTAAAAGAACGAAGCAAAATCTGAGGACAGATTTGTGCTCTGGCAGGGTTAGAAGGAATCTTGTTCTTTCAAAGTCAAAGACATCGACAAACGTATTCATTCGACAAAATTCGTAAATGGCGCAAAACATCTATGCCCAGTGGATAGCATGGTAATTGAATTCGAGCCGACTAAATCAAGAATCGCGATTCCTATCGTGAAATTCCCCTCATGAGGATAGAAAGTCTACTTGTTCAATCGTAAGCCGAAATGTTGGGCAACTTTATGGCTATTTAGTAACCATAAACATGAAATCTTCAGCAGAAGCTACGAAATCTTTGAATTATTTTCGGTCGCGCGCTTTTACTGAGTGCCACACGGACAACTCGTCCTTTGGGACGAATGTGCGACATGTAAGATTTCAGCATTGACAGCTTCGCTCAATCTATTTTGATTCTTTCTCTAATTGTTCCTTTCTAACAGTCACCGATTCTCTGATATCACCAACTTGCGAAGTAGCTTGCGAGTCATTGAGCTGCTTTCCTTCCACCAGCACCAGCGGAAAGCGGCGAATCTGCTTGTTTCGCCTTGTTGCGATTCCCGGTCACATTTTCTCACATTTTTCATCCTCTAACTTTCTTTAATCACTGTCCTCACTGTCATCTAAACTTACACCCCGAAAAATGCAGTCCGCGTCTCTTGGCAGGCTGTGTCCTTTTTTTCAACCTTGTTCGTTGCAAACCCTCTTTAACATCATTTGATTCCGGCGCTTCCTCCGCTGGAAGATGTTTCGTAAGGTGCGCCAATTGCGCCAGCATGGCCGCCAGACCGCCAAAAAAGAATCGTCTTTTCGTGAATCAGGCCATGTTAAATTCAAAACAAACCCCTATGGCGAAAGTTTCGGCTGAAAATTAGTAATTTATGAGATTTTGGCTGTGTAATGTGAATTAGTGCAAATTAGTGAAGCGAAATGAAAGGGCAAGACAACAATAGTCGCAGTGATATATGCAACATTGTATGTCCTCGTATGAATGTTACATAGAAGAGTTTCGAGCAGTTAAATTTTCCAATGGTCAGCGTGTTTTTTCGCATCGACTAAAAAACTGTAACAAATTGAAAAGCAAAATAAAAGTAGGCAGGAAAAGAAAAAGGAGAATAGCGAGTATTGATTTCTATTTGTGGTCGCGCTCTTAGGCTGCTTTCATAGTCTGCGGTCCGTGCCGTCCGCGCCGTCCGCCGTGCGGACGGCTCGGACAGGGTGAAAAACGTCAACACGCGCTCCGGCGCACAATGCGCACTTGGCGCGCAGTCGGCGCCTCCCTCGATCGATAATGCTGATTTCGACACATTTTTTCTGTATTTTGACGTTTTGTGCGCCGTTTTGCTTTTTCTTGCGGTTGCTTAGCCCAAAACTTTTTCTTTTTTGTATGGATTACTGCTTTTGCTCACTAATGAACCCACTTGGTGTTTATTGCTACTTTCAAACACAGTGTATGAACCTAACCATTCTAGGACAGTTGAAAAGCAGTGATTCACACAAAAAGGAAAAGGTTCTCGCGAAAAAATACGAGAAGCAACACGGCACAAGGAGCACCAGGAAAACACAAATAGAATGTGATGAAATCGCATTTATAAACTGGAAGGCGTCGACTGGCTTTTGCTTGTTTTTTTTTGGCGAAACCAATAAGAGAACCTTTTCATTTTTGGTGCTAACTTAGTTGGGGGGGGGCACGCGGCGGCGCGGCAGTCTGCTCACCTGGGCTCTCTCGAGCGAGACAGTGTAAACTCGAACATTCCAGCTTTTCACGCATGTCAAGTGACTGCCCCACCCCCACCCCCTAGACTGGCTACACTCCCCCTGGCCCACGGATTTCCGAACATGCCAGGCGAGCAGACTGCCGCGCCGCCGCGTGCCCCCCAACTAAGTTAGCACCCCTTTTTTTGTGTGAATCACTTCTTATTCAACTTCTACAGAGAACTGGTATAGCTTCAAATACACCTGTCCGTGAAAGCAGTAATCCATACAAAAAAGGAAAAGTTTTGGGCTAAGCAACCGCAAGAAAAAGCAAAACGGCGCACAAAACGTCAAAATACAGAAAAAATGTGTCGAAATCAGCATTATCGATCGAGGGAGGCGCCGACTGCGCGCCAAGTGCGCATTGTGCGCCGGAGCGCGTGTTGACGTTTTTCACCCTGTCCGAGCCGTCCGCGCACGGACGCGCGGACGGCGCGGACGCACGGACCGCAGACTATGATAAGCAGCCTATCCTACTATCCTAATCTCGTACTCTACTAATATCCTACTATCCTAATATCCTGATCAATATGTATCTAATCTGTTCAGCGGAATCTACTACTATCCTACTATCGTAATATCGTAATATCCTACTCTCCGGCGATTTCAGTCGATACGTATCTAATCTTGTCAGCGCAATCTACTACTATCCTACTCTCCTACTCTCCTATCGCCAGTCGCTCAGTATCCTACTATCCTACTCTCCGACTATCCTACTATCCTGATCTCCGGTGTCGCGAACTATGAACGCGGCCTTAGTGAATAGCGTGAGTTGTACCTCGAACAAGTAGAAAAAGAACTTCGGTAATTTTAATTATTTTCTCTTCTAACATGGCGTGTTTGGCGTCAAGAAATCGTAGTAGCATCTAGAAACATGCTTGGCCATGTCCAAAGAGTTGCAGCCTCTGCAGTGGTCAGATTATTGGCTACATCGTTTTGGTTAATGGTTTGTTTTTTGTTTTGACTCGACCATTTAGACAAGTTGATCGTCAAATGCTCAACCACCCTTTCAGCAAACCGATGTCCTATTTAGAACAGAAGCAACCCTCGTGGAAAAGTTTCCTTACTTTTGATAATCGCCGTCGACATTGAATGGAGCACGGTTCGGCAACGAAATAGGTTCAAAAAATGGACAGCCTCCTAAAAAATCGCATTGTTATGGGCTGTAGGTTCAGGCAACAGCGCCTTCCACACTTTTGTGGAGAAGTAGATCCGACTACTTTATTTGGCAGGCAGTGAATACCATGGATTAACCTCACTTGAGGAAACGTTTACATAGGCTTCGGAGCCGCTCTGGTAAACGAAAACATTGGATGTGATATTTACTGTTTGAGGGCAAGCCCTATAATATCTCCCCTTTTCAACTAAAGAACATAAAATTTCTTTGTAGGATCCACTTGAAACGAGGTGGCAAGCGACAAGTCCAGGTGAACGTCGAGAGCCGTAGTCGCACTGTGTGCGAGAACGCGACGTCCCCTCTGTATCCAGCGTGTTGCTGGTCACTAACGAAGAGGCAGGATCGCCTTCACAGTGTGAGGCAATCAGTCCTTTCAGACTCCGCGACCGTACGCTTGGTGCTTGGCGTTCCATTGATCACTGCCGACGGGCACAGTAGATTTCCGCAGCGTGCTTGATATATGACATTTCCAAGATCGAGTGACGATTCCCGGAGGCCAGGTGTTTCTTGCTTCGCGGTAATCCTTCGTGTAGACAGCATCATTAGCCTTGAAGAAACATGTGACGACTTCTTTGTGAGGTCTCTTTATCTTTTCTTCGGGGCCCGTGGTCGCTTGCCCTGCGCTTCGAAATCCATGTTTTCTTATCAAGTGATCTTGTGGCCTCCGCGCTCATGTCCATACCAGCGCAGTCGCTGTTCCTGCATCTTAGCCGAGCAGGAGCACGCTGCAAGACCGCTCTGACATCCTCGGTTCTGACCCTACCCAGTCGTGTCCAGCCGCAGTTCCATCGCAGCATCCTCCTCTCATCGGAGTGAAGCTGCCTTTCGTGATTCTTGTTCAAGGGCCAGCACTTGTTGCCATACAGCATCCTAGGCCTTACCGTTTCCCTTTGGGTGTACTTGATTCCAGAATGCCAATGGACCCTTCATTTCATCCATGCAGCGTTGAGAGCCTTCACCGTCCGTTCAGGCACACTATCACCAGTGACTAGATCGCTCTGTAGGTATGGAAGCTCTCCATTCTTTCATGTATTTCCGTGGCCTTTTAGGGCTTAGGAATTCGGTCTTCTTGACGTTCAATCGTAGTCTACCTTGTGTTTCCACTTCCTCCTCCTTCTGCACCTCGCCCCAAAATTTTTCTCTGCTATCCGCTATAAGGGCTAGGTCGTCTGCTGCTGCGTCCTCAGTGGTTTCTTCCAGCAAGCTCTATCAGGACAGTTATGTTAGGAAGGAGGCGAATGAGACTTAAGGGCTGAATCCTTGATCTACAACTGTGAGACCTACCTTTTTGGTTAAGCAATTTAAGGAGTTCGTATTGCTCTCCAACCTTATCTTACATGTTCTCCACCAGAGGGTCTATGATTCCACGTTCCGCGCTCTTCAGAGTGATGGTCGTGTCAAACGGTTGAATGCCTTCTCCAGGTCGAGGAAGGCTAGGTAGCAGGGTCGGCGCTTTTCTCGATACTTCTCCATCACTTGCCTAGCGATGAAGATGGCATCCGTTGTGGACCTTTCCACGGCATGAACCCGAAGTGTCTCTGGGAGACCTTAAAAAGGCCTGGTCAAGTTTGGAACAAGTAGGTGCGCGGCGCACCGCTAAACTGGAGCATATCTGATCATACCGTGACCTCATGTCGTTTACAGTTATGCTATGTTCTAATCCATAGAAGAGAGACA